TTCACCCAGTTTTCATGGTCACACCGAGCAGGGTCACATCCCCACACACTTCATACATGCAGTTCAGTGCCTGGTAGGGAGTTATTTTTCAAAGGAAAGGACTTTCAGGCAGTGGTTCCCTCTCTCCTTTGGGACAGTTTTCCCCAGCTATGGAAATGCCATATTTTCTGGTTTTAGCAGAAAAAGAAGCAATTGCAGACACACTGCCTTCAAGACACACTTGCCAACTCTCCTGTTTTCCAACAGCACTAGTCAAAGACCAGATACTACTGCTCATCATGGCCTGATGTTTTCTCTCCCCCTTAACTCTGTTGCTGGCAGATGAAAAATCTAATTTACCTTTGTTAGTAACTTCAGGGCACCCAACCCCAGGGCCAACCTCAGACTTCTTTCTGGAGTGTGAACCATTTGAAAAGAGATTACTTGTGGACAATGTGTTAATTATAGTGCCTGTTATTGTACACATTGTTACACAGAAGCGCCACACACCTTGGGCAGTGTCTGGGCTTGGACACAAACCTTATCATAGAACATAGAATTGTTAAGGTTAGAAAAGATCTCTAAGATCATTGAGTTCAACCATTAACCCAGCACCAAATTGTTCACCACTAAACCATGGCTTCAGGTACCACATCCACAGGGTTTCTCAACACCTCCAGGGATAATGACTCTGCCCCTTCCCCAGGCAGTCCATTCCAGGGCTAGACAACCCTTTCAGTAAAGAAATTTTTCCTCATTCCCAATTTAAACCTCTCCTGGTGATTTCTCTTGTCCTGTTACTTGTTACCTGGGAGAGGAGACTGACCCCCACCTGGCTAAAGCCTCCTTTCTGGTAGTTGTAAAGAGTGATAAGGTCTTCTCTGAGCCTTCTTTTCTCTAGGCTAAATACCCCCAGGTTGCTCAGCTGCTCCTCATAAGAATTGTGCTCCAGATTCCTGTGACAAACCAACAGTGAAGGCCCAGGGTCTGACATGAGTCCTTTCAGAAACAGCCCACCTTGGCCAGAGGCAGGACAAGACAAACTGCCTCAGAAAGCTTCAGGCAACATGGAAAGGCAGGTCCCTGGTGCAACAAAATGAAATATCCATATATGAAACTCAGCTATCTCAAGAAGGGGGACCATATATCCTGCATATAAATGCAGAAAACAAGGGCACCCTCACACTGATGGCATAGCCACCAATATGCAACATTTCTATCCTTCTTTTTTATCGTGTATAGCTAGAGAGCCACAAGGAATGTACTGACAAGCAGTCAAGGAACTCAGCTGCTGGTTCACTATGCAGGACTTGGGAGCTGGAGGGCGAAAGTGATGCATGGAAATCAAATTAATTTTAAACCGCAGGCAAGAGAAGAGACTTGCTAGCAGTTACTTAAGAGAAGCTGCTGACTGTTTAAATACCATTCAGAAGATTAATGTCAGCCCACAGAACCACTGAAAAATTAGGGCTGAATGGGACCTTGAAAGGTCAGACCAGTCCATTCCACTAACCCAAGCAGGATCACCTAAACCTTGGACATGCCTGACAGATGTTGCTTAACTTGATCTTAAAGCTCTCCACTCCCTAGGCAGTCTATTCTTTATTATCCCTGTCATTAGAAAGTTTTTCCTAACATCTAAATTGAGCCTTTCCTGCTGTGACCTAAGCTTTCTTTTTTCTTTTTTTCCCTCCTCTCCTCCATCACAGACAAGGAGCAATGATTATGCCTTTTGTATGTGCTTAAAGACTTCAGTTCTCTCCTCCTTTGGGTTAGAGAATTTCAGTTCTTTCAGGTTTCCCTGGTAGGTAATGGCTTCTCCATTTCCACTTGTTCTCCCTGCTCTCTGCTGGGCTGGATCCAATTACGCCACATCTCCCCTTAACTTATTTTCCATCACCTCAACACCATGACATTGCTGACTTGCATTCAGCTTTTGATCCTTTTCCTGAAGAATTGCTACTTAACCCATCACTCCCTCCTCCATACTCCGTACACTCATATTGTTGCTCAAGTGTACAACCTTCCACTTCTCTGTATTCAACTGCCTCCTGTTTCTTCCAGACCATTTCCCCAATTTGCCCAGTTTTAAACTCTAATCCTGCCCAACACTACATCTATGGTTTTATTTAATGTGTAAAATGGAAGCTTTTATGTTTATCCTTTATAACAAAACATAATAAAAAAATTAAGCCAAACAGCCAGACGGAGGGTGAAACCCCACTCATGGCCAGCTTTAACCTGGACAAGAAGGTGCTGGCAGCAGTGCCCTGGGTGAGGTTATTCAAGCAGGTTTGTACCAAGTGACCTCAGCCACAACTCATAAGGCTTCTCCTCCAGGTTCTCCACCGTCCTTATGTGGAAGCGTTCAAGGCCAGGCTGGATAGGGCTTGAAGCAACCTGATCTAGTGGAAGGTGTCCCTGTCCATGGCAGAGGGTTGGAGTGAGATGTTCTTTAAGGTCCCTTCCAACCCAAGCCATTCTGTGATTCTGCAGGAGTGCGTTTTCCCAGCTGGCAAACACCAAACTGCTCTGAGAGCCACACGAGGTTCCTGCAGTCAGGCCTCTCCCGCCTCTCCTCTGCACCTAAAATCTTTTTGTGTGGCTGTGTCTCTGTCCCAGCTGGCTCTGACCCACACAGCCTCACCTTCCCCTCACCCTCAGCCATCCCACTCCGTCACCCAGGCCCTGTGTGCCAACAGGATCTTCCCCAACTTGGGGAAGTGCCACAGGAAGGACAAGATTAAATAAAAATAAATGAGGATGGTAAAATCTGTGTTATTTTAGAGGTAAATTGTGGGAACTCAGAACAAGGGGAATATCTCCCTGTCTGCCCTAGGGTACCCTGACTCCCAAAAAACCATTAACTTTGACCCTCATTCATAGAGAAGACTCCTAAGCCTCAAAGTAGAGACCGCAAAAGTGTAAAATAGATTATAAAGAGTGTAGAGAGTAGTTTAGTATGTCACATGAGTGAGAAATTTAGGTTTTAAGATTTTTAACATATTATAAATAAGTACAACATAGAAGATACAGAGTGTTATCTCAAGTCCCTTTCTTCTTCCTTCTTCTATTTAGGTTTAAGTAGTATCTTGTAGTTAAGTAAAAAAATCCACATTATGAGTCTTTAAGAGTCAGTTATTAAGTTAGAAAGACAAATAATCTAAGTATCACTTTAACACAAATTTGTTGACCATTTTTGTACTGTTTTCACACATAAAAAATCTAGACACAAACAGTATACTAAAATCATAACATAAAATAACAATAAAACAAAAACCTAAAGACCAAAAAAGTCCAGTAAATCTACTTTCCCTAACAAAAAACTACTTCAAAAAGATTTCCCCCTACTAAAAGAACCCACAAGAAGTTACCCAACGTAAAACCCGCAAACTCACAGTAAATCGCTGTTATTTTTGAGGTAAATCCGTCACTTTTGAGGCAGCCCCGTTTTGCGGCCCGCGGCTGCCCCCTGGCGGACAGCAGTGTCCCGGCTAGGGCGGTGTCCCTCGGGCACAGGTTACACAGGGGACACAGGCTGTGCTGCCCCTGTCCCGCGGCACCCCAACCGCTGTCCTTGGGGGAATGATGGGGACAGGGGCTATCCCAGCAGCATGGTACATCAGGGAAGGTCAGGCTGCCCCTTAGCACAGGCTCCCCCCCACCCCCTTTGCCTGTCTGTTCTGCAAGTGAGGGCATTTCATTACCCCGTCATGGTCACCAAGCAGGGAAAGGCCCCACAACAGATGTGCAAGAGACAGAACCAAGAACTACCTTTACCCCCTAGGTGAACTCAAGTCTGCCTCAGTGTCATATGGATACCTTGTCTCTCCGCTGCTGCATTTTGGCTTTACGCATGACTCAAAGCAGGCTGATCTCAGCTCATTTCTGGCCCCCTAAACTGCCCCACTCAGCAAGCGTATTGAAGCGCCTCATGCCCCCGGCCCCACACTGTGCCCATGGTGCCAGCAAGCGCACCTGTGGCTTGGCTGCCATTCCCTGCAGCCTGCAAGGAGCACACCTGCCTGATAAGGATGTGCCTCCCAGCAGCACCAGCAACTGGCACATAGAGGAGGGGACCTGGGCAGGCAGGCTGCACCCCTTCTAATTGGCTGAAGGAAGAGGAACACTTGAACTTGCCCCAAAAGGAAGCTCAAGCTCCAACTTCCCCACATTCATTTACTTGCAGAGCTTGCCCAAACCTGCAAGGAGGCATCAGCTTGCAGACAGGCAGCTGGGAGGAAGCAGTCAGGCCACTGCAAGTCAGCTGCAGGTATTGACCCTTCTGGCAGTTCAGATGCAGACTCTGGGCTCAGCTTAAACATGTCTTTCTTCCCTTCTCCACTATCTAGAACTGGCCCTTCCCAGCTGTTATTTTCTTCAGCATGACTCATTCCAGCTACAAGTCCATTCAACACTGTCTATCCAGGCCCTGCAAGACTCACCAAGGCAAACTCCATCAGGCCATTCCATACAGGCAATTCCTGGGGATAAATAAACATACTATCCAATATCTCATTCTTTGTTTTAAACATACATCAAAATCTATGGAATATTGCAATAGTCCAGTTTATTCCAGGGCAAAGGCTTAAGGCCAAGGCAATGAGCAAGAATCTCTCAAGAACAACTCTGCCCTTCAGGTGATGACAGCATTAAGAGGTACTTCTGCGAGATGTACAGAAAGCTCTGGTGCCAAAGCATGATAGTGCAAAGAAAAAAAATATCAAAACAAGCTTCCTAATGCAAGTGGACAGAGCAGCTGTCACTGCCATTTTACATGCAGCAAAGCTGTGAGCTTTAAGTGCTATGAGTAGTAAGGAAGGAGTGTATGCAAAATGCATGGTGATGTGATCACATAACTGAGAGCTCCACTTTCCAAGCCTCTCACAAATGGGGTTTTTTGGTTAAAAGTTTCCCTGTGATCAGTACGTTAGATGAAGTCTGGTCAGCAATGAATGCAAAAAGTGCCACAGAACAATGACAGCTGCAGGTGCAAAGAAAGAAATGCTAGAAGCATGATAATACTTCAACATTTATTTTCACCAAGTCACAAAAAGAATTACAACAGTTTTAAAACTCACAAAGCTTTAGAATACTTCACAATATAGAAGTGCTAACTGTGCTTCCTGCTTAGACTAACCAGCAGAGAGACCTTTAATTCAGGCCTTTATGTCAGTAGGTGCATAAAGCTGTTTCATTTATTTCAGGTATGTAAGAAGTGACAGGAGAAATGTATGGCAGAATCATTCCAGTTTGGTTCAAGCCCAGGAAAATCTCCTGAGAGGGATGCTGTGCTGTTGACTGGAAGTCACATTCAACAGGTATTGCTCACACCATGTACAGATGTCTGCAGTCAGCCAGTTTGCCATGGTCCCTGTGTAACAGCACAGGGGCTGTGCTAGGCCACGGGGCTCCAAAACAACAGGTACACTGGAGGGGCAGAGAAAAACAAAAGCAGGAAAGTTGACCCAGGTTTCTGTTAGAGGGCATGGTGCTCTTCCACCCTTCTCTCAGGCTGCTAAATGATTTAGCCAAATGCATAGGTTCAAAATCAGCATCACTTAGGAAGGCTATAAGGCACCAGAACAGCTGATAGCTTCTCTCCATTGACAATGTATCAACCAAAGGGCTAATGCATATGTGTGTCTGGTCCAGGGTTATGGCTGCATCCTCATGCAGTAGGATTTATTTGCCATCCTGCAGTATGACAGTAATGCAGTTTCTCAGGCCTCTTCTGCAGCATTGCAACACAGACCAAACCACTGCCTGCCCCATGCAGTTAACTTCAGTAATGAACACTACTCCTGATTTTTGGCAACTGAAGTACCAACCTTAGAATCAGAAACTACTGTGTCTTTATTCTGGCTACATTAAAGAATGGTTTCACAGGAAGAAAAAGAAGGTATGAATTTGCCCAGTAGAAAATTTAACCATTTTGGAAAGAAAAGAACATAAATGTTTTCAGTCCTGTATATTTCACTTACATGCATGTTGTCTTTATCACCCAGAACTGCCAAAAAATCTTTTTGGAATAATTAATTTTCAGGAGACAAAAAGGAAAGGGTCTGTATGTACATGGAGGGACTTGGAAACCATTTGTGGCATCGCTATTCAGTCAGTTACACCTGAGCCACAATTAGGATATTTCATGTCTAGGTAGAAAGGGGCTACTCCCTGGGTTGTAGTGGACCTCCAGCTGTGAGGGATAGAATGTGATGGGGTCTGGAAATTCTCATACTATGAAGCTATTGCAAAGAACCTTCTATGTCTGGCCTAACATGAACACTTCTAAATCCATGTCACAAACCTGATCGTTAAAACAGAAAATGCATTTCAGAGCACCTACACTTTCTCTCTTTGGGTCATCCAAAATCCACAACACTTCCAGAGAACTGTGGACTAGTTAGACCAGTGGCTGAAACCAGCCATTCAACAGAACACTCAGCTGATCAGCCCACTATTACCTACTGCTGTCTGCATGTTTGTAGCTGTGCATAAATAACTGGTGACATCTTTCAAGGTAAAAATAGAACAACCCTGTCCCAGCTTACCCAAAATACTGCTGGTGCTTTATTTCATGTAGCAACTTGGAGCTCTTCTGTTCCTGAGTAGCTGGATCCTCCTCTCCAGACAGTCTCAAAAATCTTAGTAATTGAAGTGGGAGATGTACACATGTTCTGAAGGGCATGGACATCTAGAATCACAGCATAAGTCACCCGAGTTCTCAGGGAAACACATCCTCTTTATCAGGACAATTTGCATGCCATGCAATTGACTTATTGGAGCATTTAAAAGGTAGACATTAATGCAGTGAACTTTCTGACCTGTGTATAAATAGAGCCCAGTGTAATCCCAACCACTTTACACAGGATGAAAGAAAGGACAACTAGAGTTGTTTTAGCTGAGTATGACAAGAGATATCTGTGTCACCCTGGCTACTTTTACACATCATACTATTCCCTCTTCTATTTTCTTGGAGACAAGCTAGAGGGTAGATTTGAGGTATCAGTGAAATGAAGGAAAGCTTCTTATGACTAGGTGAGGAGCGGGGAAAGCAGAAAATGTAAAACTCCCATATGCTGTTGTAAAGACTAGACTTACCTTAATACAGCAGTCACAGCAGACAAAACTGAAAGACAAAAGTCTCCAATATTATCATTTGAGTAAAGCTCAGCAGCTACCAGTATTGCAGCTACAGGGGACATTCCCAAGTAAGTCTGAATCCATGATTGTTGCATAATCACTTGATGGCAAAGTGAACAAGCTGAGAACTCCACTATTCAGTTTGCCAGTTTTCCTATTTTTGGTAGTTTAAATAATCTGAAATGTATCAACATCATAGCTTCAAGGCTTTATCTGCAAATACTCATTACACTTCACCCAGCACTACCACCAGACAGTTGCTCAATTTCCAGTGGTTGTTCACTTGCTGCTTATAATCAATTCAGTGCTTCATAACTACTTCAAATGGATTTAAGTTAGCCTTAATGAGCCTGAAGTTCCTTCTCTCACTCTCCCATGAGCAGAAAGCCTCTAACAAGTAAGTGGATACAAGTAGGCTCAACTCCTTTCTCAGTCACAAGGTCTGGAATTCTCTTTTTCAGTCCTCAACAGAAGATGCTGGTGTAGACCCTCTCTCAGAATTTGTTCAAGCCCTTGACTGAAGTTAGAGCAAATTTTTAGAGCAAAACACAGAGTGATTGCTGCATCTGCAGGTGATCTCAGAAAAACTAATTTAATACTAGCACAGGAAATTTGGCTATTGCTGGCTTAACACTAAGAGTTAAAACCAAGATACTACTTCAGAGACAAGATTTTCCACCTCCTCCCCAGCTGTAGACACTTCAGCCTGGCTTGTGCAGTAAGGCAAAGCTGGAGGGCTCAGCAACCTGGTCCTAACCCAGTAGTACAACTGATGAATACTGAGAATTCTCAGCAGTGTTCTTTCACTTTTTCTCCCTCCTCATTCAGTCCTTTTGTACCAGCTCACCTGCTGCAGAGGTAACATTTGTAAGGCCACTTAAGAAACATCTGCTTATGGCAGCTGAAACAGATCTGTGGAAAGGAAAGTTATTTGTGAATGCAAATGGGAAACATCTTTGTACCAAAGATGTGCCTGCCAAAAAGCAAGCATGTAAACAAACCTTCTAAAGGCTTTATATTCATATACAATAACAGAGGTCCGATAAAGGATAGCAAAGACACAGGAATTAAATGCTAAAAAGGCAAAAAAATTCTTACTTGTAGGCCAGTGTTTTTATAACACAAAGGTTTGGGGCAGCTGCCAGACAACAGGAGTTTAAAAAAAGGCTCTTGAGCAAACAATAGCTGTATTGTGCAAGAGTGTAACAGTAGCCAGTTAAGAGAGAAGGAAGAAGAGAGACATTCTTTGAGGTAGACTGCAGCAATCCCAAAGAGATTAAATCAGGGCAAATTTGAATTCAATCCTGAAGCAAAAAATGAGTCATAAGGAAGCTGATGAGTCGCTTGAACTTTATAAAAAAGAGCACATTCATACACAGCTGGCAGTCAGAAGTGATATTATCTTGAGAAGTAGAACTTGAGAAACCTAAAAAACCAGCAGTGGGTAAGAAAGCCATTTTAGATTAGTCATAGAGTAGGCAAGTTAAAGCAGGGTCAGTAAGGTGAGAAGAAAACAAGGATTCAGTCTCGGGAGCATCAGATAGCTTGTGGAAGTAGCATGGCTCTGCTAGTAGAACCTTTGACTCTGTCCATACTGCTAAATAAATGAGGGCAAAAAAGTGATCCAAAAGCCAAGAAGCACAGACTTCCTCATATCTGTGTTGCAAAGGGCCTGTACTCAGGACATCTGCTCTGGAGGAGTGGTTGCCACACTCCCTCTAAAGGAGACTCGGGGATAAGGCAGAAGTTGATAAACGTGAACAACCAACAGTCCTGAGCTATACAGCTCCTTCCCTGTCCTCATTTCCCCCACCTTCATATCTACTTGTTAAGGTGGTTTGAGTCAGCACAACTTGGTGTGGGAGCCTGAGTGAAGTGCCTTTGTTTCACTGTTTAGGAGTACCAAATTCCAGCTATTTACTGTGGGATTTCAGAGCTGACCAATGGCCATGGCAGTCAGCTCTCCTTGCATGAAAATCAGAAGCAAGGCTCCTTGCAAGAAGCAACAAGCAAAGGCTGGGCTACTTTCTAGGCAATTTACACAGCTTAAGCTAGATTAGAAGCCATCACTGCACAAAAAACACTGAAAAGTTTTTCCAGCCTAAGGCCAAACTCAGATCAGCTGTTATGAACAGAATAAGCTGAGGCAGAGGGTATCTCTGCAGTTCAGCACAGAGGGCCATGAAAACAGCCAGCTTTTGAAAAGGCAAGGGCAGCACAAAGACAAGGAGGAGAAACATACCTCTGGTCTTAGAAAGACAACATCACTACCTCCTTGGAAGAGGCCTTGCACTTCATGCACCGTCATTGCATATCTGGTTGCAATCAGCTCAGCAATGGTTGGTGATGGGCACTTGGTAGGAAAGGGACAGTCCTATTGAAAGGCAGAAGTCAAACATCAGATAAAGTTGAAGAAAGCACTTCCCTCTGGGGAGGTTATCTCAAAATTGGATCCCGAAGGATCAGGAGGATTTTTGTCCAAAACCTCATTTTGTTTGTGATTGAGAGTATCAGGTGACTCTGACAACACCAGCAGAGAAACTACTACAGGTACCTGCATGGTTGCTACAGTTTTCAGACTCCTTTGAGACATTTTACCCTTTGGAATAGGCCACAGAACAGATGCCACCCTGGCCTCTCCTGGATACAAAATTCCTTTCCACAGCAGAACACTCTTGTCTTTCTCATTCCCAAGACCTACTGGCCCCATACAAATGGAAGCTGTGGTCTCATGGTTAGCCAGGAGAGACAGCAGTACTTTAATCCCCAACACACCTGCATCCCCCATCACGCTGTTGAACAAAGAGGCATCAGAGAGGTCAGAGACTTGCCAAGGTGGGGCAAGGAGGAATGCAGAAGGAAAGAGACAAGAGCACAACACACCTTGTCAGGTGTGGCCATAATTCATTCTACATATATTATACATTTAAAAGTCACTAATGCTGTGCTATCCACATTTTGTTAAGTACTTATTGTCCCTTACTGCAGCTTAAAAGATACTTGTGAGCATATCAGAATCTAGAGAAAGGGAATGGACATGAAGAAAGCAGGATAGTTCCACTCTCAATTACAAGTCTGCTTGAGGAAGCCTTGATGGACACTTTCAAGTAATGTAATGGTATGTTCCTCTTCTTTTATGAGAAACAACTTTATTTCATATCATTAAAAGAGGGAAGCCACCACAAGGACACTACAGCATCCAGTCTTCTCTTAAGATGTCTCCAAGGAGAGAATAACATACCAGCTTCAGAGGGGCGTACCATATATCCTAAGACAAAAGCAACCAAGCATGCTTACTGCTTTCATGAGGATCAAGGTGCAAGTCATTACCAGATACATCAGACCAGGGCTGCTTGCTGACATGTTGGACTTACAAGTTTCTTGCTTTGAAGGCCTCTCTCTAAAGATTTGGACCTTCCTCTGTAAGGAGGCAGCTGCTGTTGGCCAGTGCTCAGGAAACACTTAGGCTTCATGTCTCCTGGTGTGGATGCACTCATGGCAGGAGTGCAATTTGCAGCAAGACCTGGATAGAAAGAGAGAGTTCTAGGGTGCAGAAAACCACTGTCAGTTTCCAAGTATTCACCCTAAGGGCTGGACACTCAAAAGCACAACAATGCCTTCTGAAGGTAGCAATGCTTACATCTCTCCCCCTCCAACCCATCTGCTCAGAACACATAAAAAGCAGAGGTTACAGTAATTATGCTTGTCAGTAGGTGCTGATGAGGCTTCATTAGCACCATTTAGTTTAATAAAATGAAATGCTGCACTTTCTACTTGAATATTCAAACCACTCATTTAGCTTTTACTGCAAATTCCAAGTCAGACCTTTGGGGATATGCAATCATTATTTTGAAGTTGCAGGAGCTACACAAGCTTCAGTCAACTGCAGAGAAATTATTTTATAAGGGCACCTCTCCAGACTCTTTATTTAGTATTGGAACTTCTGCAAAGTATCTCCAGGTGAATTAAAGAAGTATACATTGAGCCCAGCTCAAGGGTCTGGGAGCCCATCAGGCCACTGGCTTTACTTTGTCACCTGGTTTAGATATGCAGCCAGAAGTGCACTGACCTGTGCTGATGCAGGATACTCCTGATGGCCTGGCGGAGGAAAGGCAGGTGCTGGCAGGCAGCTTGGGAGTGGTTTCCTGTCGACCAGAAGACAGGACATTCATAATCTGCATGTAAGAGACACCAAGGCCACTTCATCGGAAGTACTGCTGCCTAACAAAACCCAGGACACTCATGACTGATCAGAAATGTTCAAGGCTCAGCCAGAAGTGAAGCACAGAGAAAAAATAAGTGGAGCACATTTAGAAACTTTCTGTTTCTTCTTGGAATATAAAGTTAATTGCCCCTGAACTCCATAGCTAGGAAATTCCAGCCAAGCTAGTAAAGTTTCCAATTCACCTGCTCTCTCTTGCCCAAGTCCAATAGTGCATACCAGTACTAAAGTTGCATCTGTTCAGGAACCAACTTTGCATGATCATCCCCACATAACCCATGGAATACATTGGAACCATTTTCTTGATTCCAGCTCACACATAGGAACTGAAGAACAGCTCAAGAGACTGTGACTAACCCAACTAATTAATTCAATTCAAACTCAATGCTTTATCTCAACAGCATTGTTTCTACCTTGTCTAGAAAAGCAAAAACCAAATTTGATTATATTAGTCTCCATATGAAAATCCTTCTAGTGCAGCAGTAATGCATCAACCACAATGCTGAACATTCTTCTAAGTAGCTCAGACTGGGCAAATATAGCTAGCATTTTCTGCTTTTATAATTCATATCTGTTTTCCTCAGTTGGGCAACAGCATTTCACGCAGAAATATTTACAGAAAACAGATTCCTGTTTGTATGCCAGACCATCTGTGCTAGACATGATGTGTTAGGGCTTAAGTTCTGTTCCACAGAATTTCAGAATATGCTCAGACTGAATTCCAGAACCAAGCAGTCGAGCTTTTCATGACAGAGCCAGGAGTTAAAGAACCCAAAGACTGTGTATTGTGGTTTCCTGAAGAATGGGGTTCCCAAAATAATTCAACAGACAGACAAGTGGGAATTCACCCATGAAGTTCCTTCCTCAAAATACATCATTAAATTTTCCTTCCATGAGCTCACATACCACATTAAATCAAAATACATTAATACATCTAGCATCAAATGCCTCACTGTGAGGTAAGAGTGGGAATATTCTGGTCCACGTTGGCCAGAGTCCCATGCTATTATAACTTCTGCAGGATCTACTTTTAAGAGACCAGAGCAGATTTCAGTTCTGTAGAATCATAGAATATCCTGAGTTGGGGCCCACAAGGATCACCAAAGTTCAACACCTGTCCTTGCACAGGGCCACCCCAAGAGTCACACCGTGGGCCTGAGAGCACTGTCCATATGCCTCTCGAGTTCTGTAGGCTTGGTGCTGTGACCACTTTGCTGACAAGACAGTTCCAGTGTCCAACCACCCTGCAGGTGAAACACCTTTTCCTGATAAGGAACTTAAACCTCTGCTGATTCAGCTTCAGGCTATTCCCTTGGATGCTGTCTCTGGTCAGAAATAAGAGATCAGTACCTATAGGTTGCAGTCATGCCACAAACAGAAGTGTTGGAAGATGAAGTGAGCTTCTGTAGAGGAAAGGACTTCAGTGAACCCAGTAATACCACATTTGTTCATTTTTGAGACAAATTTTCCTACACCAGGATTTGTTCCTGCCCTTCCAGGCTATGTATATGCTTGCAGCTCTAATTCCTGAAGTATGCATGCTTCTCCATAGTCCTTTCACCTAAAGCCTTACCTCAGCTCCTGCTCCCAGCTGCTGTGTTTTAGTGTTGGCAGTTTTAAACTCAGTACTGGCATCTTGTAGATGTAAGAAATTGTCGCTTGGAGAGTTCAAGGCAGTATTTGATGCCACAAGCGTTTCTGCAGGGGAGAGGAAGAACAAAAAACTCATACTCACAGACTAGATGAGCTAGAGCTGGGACAAGGAAATGATACATTTGATACCCACCCATTGGAAATTAAGATTTAGCCTGGCTTTGTCCTGGTAGTTATGTAATTTTTTATTCTTAAGTGATGGTCAAAATCCTGTAATCTCACTTAGTGGACAGACAAATGTGAACATTCATAAAAACAAGGGCAAGTTGAAACATCTTTTGAGTTTTCTTAAACCACAAGCAGAATTTTTAGAAATAACTATTCATATGCCATACCTGCTCTATTACACAAAACTTGTATTTCTCCCCACCCCTTACATTACAAATGTTATTGAAAAGATAAGTGGGCTTTCATTTCCAAAGACATCTATTATTTTTAGCCAATGCTGCTGACTTTGTTTGCTTACTAGGTCACTCTATAGCAGGTACCTTTGAACCTGCCCCTCTTTTCCTGTGCTGTTGCTGCTGCCCAAACCTTCAGTGGCTGTTTTATTTCCTCCATGAGCTGTTCATGACACCAGGGCTCCTGTGGCACACACTGTTTCAGCTGCACCTTCAGCATCTGCAGGCAAAGCATAGCACCACAAAGAACCATTGGACAGAGCAAGGAGACCAGTGGTGACAGAACAACTGCATCAGCAATAGCATTGTTTTACAAGTGCTTGTCACCCAAGAGGGTGCTGGGCCCTGTACATGAGACAGCCTTCAGCACTACGCATAGTAGAATAACTTAGTGACTCTCAAATTTGAAATCAAGAACTCCAGGAGCTCTTTCAAGACCAAAAAATGTTACAAATTAAAGAAGCAGTAGAGGAAGTAGGAAGATTAGTCACCTTTCTTCTACAGAGATGTCAACTCCCATTTTTCTAGTACCAGTTTGGCAGGAGGGTCTATTCAAAAGTTAAGTATGGTTAATATAACTCCCTCACCAGTAGCTAAAGTATTTGCTTTATATTGCTTCAAAATGTCCTGCTACCTCCAGAATTACCTTGTTTTGCTATCACCAGATACAGCACCAGGTCACCTACCGGCTTTAGATGAGACTTGAGAGCAGCTACCTCAACTTTGGGGGCCTCGTGCTTTTGTTTGATGGTCACCTGAAAGACCAGAAGTAATGCTTAAGAAATAGCTCTTTCTCTGCTCCCTAAACACTCTTCACAGTGAATGATACAAGTCAGGATTTGGAAACAGGGAAGATGGGGAAGGCACTAAAAAACACAACAAAAAAGCCCAAAACAAACAAAAAACCCACCTCAAAAAAAAAACAAAAACCAACCAACCAAACAAACAAAAAAACCCAAACCAAACACCAAACAAACACAAACCTCCACAAAGAAAACAACAAACCCCCAAAACAAAACAAGGAGTGGAAGTGTGGAATAATGATGTTTCCTTATATGGAGTTTTGGTAGGGAAAGACTTGCCTGTGGCAAACCAGAGGCAATCAGAAGTACTGCACAGCCCTTAGAGGCTTGCACAAGGAGCACAAAGCCTTCTAGCCCCAACTGCTCTGAGAAGCAGCTAGAAAACCCTGCACTCAGATATTAATGTCAGGAGTGATCCCAACAAGCACCATGGTCACATCATATTCCTCAGTAAAATCTCAGCTCCAGGGAGGAAAGCAATTGAATGGGTTAACAGGAATTGTAGCAGCAGGCAGAGTCCGAGAGGCTGGCTTACAGCCTGACATAAACTAGGAACAATAGCAAGAGAGAATTGCAGGGCAGATATTCATGTGAAGCATCAAGCCCTGTGCTTGCTGCAAAGGGGAGAACTGACAAAAAAGTCAATGGCACATGCATGGCTTTAACTGCCTTGTTCACTTATTCGTATTTTGAGGCTGTGACATTTACTTTCACTTGTGTGTACAACTTCAGAACACATGGGAGTGCAGGTAGGACAACACTACAGCTCCCCACACTAGCTGTGCTTTCATTCATTTGCAAATTAGACCACTGTTTGCTAGAGAAGCTTTAAAATAGCTTTGCAGATGGGGAAATCCTAGTTTAAGAGACTTCACAAAGACCTGAGCAGTAGCACTCTGCTTTCTTTCAGCATTTCTGACTACTACTCTTCAAACACGTTTGTACTTCTCGTGGGCCAAAGAAAGAGTCGCTAAAAAGAAAAAAAGGGAAAGAAAAATAAAATAAAACAAGAAAATTAACACCCAAATCATCCTGCCACCTTGAGTTACAGTCCTGTACTGCACAGTGCATAAATACATAGTACATCATAACTAGCTTATATTCCTTGCAATGTACTATCTCTTTACCAATACTATTAATTTATATATCCATCAAGATACCATTTGCAAACATGACATAGCATTACCTGGAGGCTGGAGCCACAGTCAAGCCAAGCACGAGCTGGGATTTTATAGAGGTGCATGGCTTAGCTGAAGCTTTTAAATCTACTACACTCTAGCAGCACCAACAAAGAGGAAAAAAAGCTGCTGTCTGGTGCAGTATGCAAAGTTTTCAGTTTTTGTAATACTGCTCTTTATTACAAGAAGAGTTGTGTCTCATCTTCTGCCAAGACGTCTGTTTGCAAAGCACACCAATGCCACAAGGCCTTGTGCCAATGTTTTAGATCTGCTCATCATTCCCAGCACAAGCTGCAGCAAGCAAAGAGCATCACAAGCCTTTAGAGACACCCCAGACAATTTTTTGTATCTGGTTATCTTCACTTACCAAGTGGTGAAGTGCACTGCCCAGAGGCCTCTGCCTTAGGCTGAGCAGAGAACAGCCTCAAAAGTGCTTCTGCACTTGCATGCACACAAGAAGCACTGGAGGAAATAGGAAGATTGCTCATCTTTCTCCTACAAAGATGTCAATTCCCGTTTTTCTAGTACCATGTTTGGCAGGAGGATATTTTCAAAAGTTAAGTATGGTTAATATCACCCCCTCCCTAATACAAACTGATACGTAAAGTATTAGCATGTAGGAAGGCAAAGCAACAAGTAAAGGTCCCAGGTGCAGCTCAGCTCAAGTGTCCAAGGTGGAAAGCACAAGGAACCAAGACTGTTCCATGAACCTGTTGTGCACAGGACAGAAAAACTGCTGCAAGGAAGTGAGTGGTTGACCCTGGAGGAAGAAGAGGTTTACAGTCCCGATTCATGAAACTGTGGCTACTCCTGACTTAAAGTTACTGGCAATTAAGTACTTGGGTGGACAAACAGGGTGATCTAATGTTGAGCTGCAGCTCAGAGGGAGCCCCAGACACTTCTGGACTTTGATGTACCTTTGAAAAAGACACACCTTTGGAGAAGAGGTCTCAACACATACTGCTCAGAAAGGAAGCAGAAGTTTCTAAAGCTGTCTGCTGACTCCAGTCACTCACCTTCCTCAGGGTGTACCTCTTGTGCTGAATGTCATCCAAAAGCAGCTCATAGGGAGAGTGAATCCGTTCCTTTGGAGATGCACAACGCCGTGGTCGCTCAGCAACCTTGCACAGCCTCACACCAGCCTGCAGCTCACAGATGACACTGGGCTCTGGAGATGCCTTGGAGAAATCAGCAAGGGCCAAGTCAGTAGCTGGCTAGAACTCACAGAGCAGCATCCACTCCCTCCATGTAACAGGGCACCCTTAGCAGCTGCAGTCATTCAGAAACACCGAATTGCGTCCTTAACATGCCCTTCTACTCACTTCCAGATCAGAGCGCAGTACCAAAGCAGAGAATTGCTTTTATTTGCAGAAGTTCATTTACAACAAGGAAACTCATAGCTGGCTCACCAGGCCAGCTATTCCCAAATTTGACATTAACATTAAGGATGTATTTCAGCAAAATACAGCTTTTGCTGTCAGGTTAGTAAATAGACCCATTTTCTTTCTGCAAGTGCTCTGGGTGTCAGAGTGTTTTCTTAATACTGGTTCCTAGGAATCCCAAATCTTACCATGAAAATCCTCCAAATTTTTGGAAAACCAAGGGTTTAAATGTCCAGAAACAAAAGAGGAAGACAAGTAGACAAAGGATCTCATACTTAACAGCAGCATAGGTTAGCAGTCTCAGCCTAGAGACGCAAGCTAAAAACCCTGACATCTGCTCATCCTGTTTCTGTACTAGTATCTGAGGATGTTCAGGCATGCAGTATAACCCAACAAAAGCTAAAGACAGGAAAAAAAACCAGTAATCAACTCAATAGCATGTTTAGACAATATTGTAATGGAAGTGCTAAATCAACATCTTATCTAGATCCCAGTGGCAAATTGAGTAAGAACAAGTCATTGTATTATAAACAGTGAAAGGGAAGCAAAACATTTTAGAAAACTGCCTCAGAACAAAGTATCTGTCTTAGGCTTCTCTCTGTTTTCTAGTTACAGCATGAAGCATCTTCTCTCTACTTACCCCTTCAGATATCTTGGTATAATTACACATGAGTCTTATGCAAGCTCTGACTGATGGCTGCCCTCAAGAAGGCAAGTATTTTTGTTGGATTCTTTTAGCCTAGATTTGGTATTCATACCTCAACTCCAGAAAAGCAGAACTCTCAAAGAATGACCAAATACTTGCCATATCTCCTAGGCTACATTTAATACTGTATAGGAGAACACACAGAAGTGTCTGGGCAAATTCATCAGTAATAGAGACTTTTGAAATAGCTTACCCCAAGACATTTGCACTTTATAGAGTTGTATTTCACATGGTGGCTGAACTTGACTAAGAAACATGACCTGAAGAGAGACTTCTCTGCTATAATACTGCCAACATTAGTTTGGGGACAAGAATCACCTTCAGCTGACCCTTTCAGAGCAACTTACACACCCAAAACATTTTTCAGATGTTGGTGACATTATCATTCATGCTTTTATTTCCCTACTGACTGGAACACTGCAATTACTCTATTTTTGCCATCCCATGTATTGTCAAAAGCCACCTTAACTTTCCACAATCTATGAAGTGCAACACAAAATGTTACAATACTCTAAACCCTTTAGGTGATTGCTAAGACAGCTGCGTTTCTAACACATCCCACTGCATAGATTTCAAGGTGAACATCAACTTGGGACATGTAAGCTCTGCTGAAACTGTTCAACACTGCATGCTGTTAGGCTGTGGTCTGCATTTTAGAAGATCTGTTTTGTATCAGTCAACACAAAAAAGTGTGGTCCATAGAACACATCACCTGCTTAGCACCACTCAAGACATCAGCTCTAAGCTGTGGGACCCCAAAGAAGCTGGCATCCTGGTTATTTTAAAATCAAGAGATTGTCAGAGCAATGCAATCAACTGGTGGGGACTTGGAAACTAGAGGCTGAGTATTTGCAACAGAAATCCAGTTTTTGGAATTCATGCCTCCTGAAGGAGCAGAGGCCAAATACACTGGCCTTCAGGCCACACGGCAAAGCCCATGTATTTATTCATGTATTCCCTGCAGAAAAGAGCTACAGCAGTTGATGAGTTTGTGGTTTGAGATAGCTTGCCAGTTTATTTTAATAGATCACAAAATTGAGAATATGCCCAAACACACATTTCACAAACATTTCATACGAATAGTTTGAGCACGCTTCAAAGCAAGTGCTATTTAGACAAAGGGAGTCAGTCCACAAGTCTCTCAGGGCTTGCTGTTTGTCTCCACAGACTCCAGACTACAGAGCATCTGTTTATGCTGGGCAGAGCTCCAGCCTGAAGAGCTATTTGTTTCTGATTGAGCCCCAACTGTGTAGGGCCTTGAAAAAAGCACAGTAAGTTGCCTTCCCTGCCCCAAACACACAGTCCAACATCTATGGAAGCACAGAAGGAAAGCCAAGAAAGGCAGTGCATAGAAGGTAGGAGTGACATCTCCTCACCCTCCTTCACTCTGTTGTTTGAGCTGCTGGAGCTGCACAACCACAAAGATAGACAGTGCTACTGGCCTTCAGTCCCTGCCAGTCCTGACCAACAGATATCCCACATAATAAGAATGAACTAGTCCACCCCAGGACTATCAACAACGGAAGAGTTCTCTGGGAGTTTTCAGTCCAGCTATGAGAAAGGAACAGATTGCTTTTGGCAGGTGTCAGTTAGTGCCAAGAGCTAGAATTTGGGGCTCATTTGTGGGAAGAAACAGCCTGCATAACTACTTGTGGGCATTTACTCCAAAGACTGCCTCCAACTTCATTTTTAGAAGTGGTTTCAGTTGGACCACAAAGACAGTCTTTGGATAGAATAAAAGCCCATGTGCGGTTGACATATGAAATAGTTTAACTTCAACTTCACTCCCCAGCTTGTTTTGCAAACAAGTCTTTAACTACTCAGGCTCCTGAACAACCTAAGTAATTCAATTTGTGCTCATCCTCTATTTTTCACAGAAGAATCAATGGAAAGCCTCAGAGAGCCAATGCTGACCAAAAAAACCCCAGCCCCCCATAATGAAGAAAAATCTCTTACATCTTGGGCTTTCTTCTTTTTCATGGGATTTTTCATCCAGTCTTCCATATCCATTTTTCTCAGTCTCTGAGAAAAGCAAGCATATGAGGTCATTACTCTACAATCCTCAGTGATTTCCTGTCTATCCAGCATAAATTACTACCGTTTATCTGAAAAGCCAAGAAGCTCCAAACACTTAAACTTTCAAATGCTACAATAAATAAAAATGGTCCAGAGACAACAGCTATTCACATAGTGAAAACAGAATTTCATCCAGGTGCTCCATTTCTAGATCAATGAGAAGGTTACTTTAGAACTTGGTGAGTGTGTGAAGGTAGAGGGAATAGCAGCTAATGGGTAAACCTAAACATACTGTAGAAAATACCACACTCCAGAACGGTGTAGATGAAAGGAGGCAGAGATCTCTTAAGTCTGCTCTTGGGGAAAGAGGTTTATTGGGGGTGCAGGAAGGTCCTGCCTCGTGCTCCCAGACGCAGCACGTGGCTGGGCCTGAGGGGGGGGGAGGGGAGAGACAAAAGGAGGGGTTAGGAGAGGGGAAGCCCCAGGAGGGGAGGAGGTTCCAAGAGGGGAGGAAGTTCCAAGAGCCCACATGGTCCCTCAAAGCCTCCTTATAAAGGGGCTTCAAGGTGGGTTGGAATAAGGCATGGCCAACGGGGTTACAGACACTTGATGTTTTAGAAGAGGGATAGAGGTGCGGGGTGAACTATACATGTTTTGGGGGGTGGGATGGAACAGTCCATTTCACCCCAGGACCCATCCAAAGGCAGGGGTGTCATCCGGCTAGCTGGGAGAACTGTTCTCATCCTAGCTGTATTATTTATGAACAATCATATTTATCTATCATCCACAACAACATACCTCTTTGGAGGTCTGGATGAAGGTCACAAGCTCCTGTAGTTCCATATATTCAATAAACAGATTCCTACAAGTCATTTCATAATGGCTGGTAGCCTCAGAAGGCTTGGACAAGTGCTCCTCACAGGCCTGAAAGAAGTGAAGCTATTTAAAAAAGATCTTGAAATTTAAAAAAAACCCAACATGGTAGGATGGAATAAAGATTCTGTTTCCTCAATCCATGGTTAAAAATCATCTTCTTCACTTACATTGTTTTTCTATTGCAGATACAAAAGAACAAAGAAGGAAGATATCCAATCTTTTACGTACAATAATGGATGTAGGTGTGTAATTTGTTTATCTTGTTTTCCATAAAGTGTGCTTTTAAACAAGCACTCGAAAGGGGAAGCTTCCAGTTCAAAGAACAACAACCCACAGCAGATGGAGTCACTTGCCCTGTTCTTTTTCCCTGCCCTGATCAGACAGAGGGATGGGAATTTTCTCATACCTTTAAATTATGGCTGAGAGGAAAATATCTGTTTGATTTGAGACATTCAAATCCCAACCTTTACAAAAGCCAAATACTATAGAAAGGGAGGTTTTTTAATATCCACAGTGTTCTAGGTAATGAATTTGGAAACTGTGTACAGAAGGACTTTGTATACACAATTGTGGGAGAGCCATACTCAGTCTTCCTTCTTAATTATTTTCCATGGGCACTTACAAACATCTTAAATAGTTTTGCTTTTTCCCTCTGATGGAAAAGCCAATGTTCCCTCTCTGTCCTCCAAACAGGCCACCCAGCTTTCTCTCAGAAATGGTCTTGCCTCTTGGTCAACAGCGCTATTCCATCAACTCCTCTAAAGCTGCTATATTTACTAAGAGGGAACAAGGAAACCTTGATAACATCCTGCAGGGCGACTGGTGGTTTTGTTGCCTTGTCATCCAGCTTCAACATGAGCCACAGCAGTTTCTCCAAAGGATCACTCAGCTCTCGCTCCATTTGGCTGTTGATTCCCCAGTCCAGGGCTTCATAGATCACCCTTCCCAGGTACTCCAACAGCTACAGACAGAGACCAAGGAAGCAATACAGCACAAAGTGTTGTGGAGAACATCACAGCTCTTACTTTCCAGCCATGTGTGCATAGTCCTCTGCTCCTGAGGACTGAGAACATCTCTCACGATGAGAAATACCCGCCCCTGCTCCCACTTAAGCTGGTTTAAAGCTTTTAAATGGCCTTAACTGGTACCTCTAAGATATCTGTCATTAGGACAACAAGAGTGTGGCCTATGCCACAGTAGACAGCATCTGTGCACACTGTTTCCCAGTCCCATTGTCTTACTTGAGTTCAGTCCAAGCACTTTGTTTCCTGTTCCAGATTGCAGAGGAGTCACTCTCACAGTAAATTCAAGCACCTTGATACTTTCACAAGACATCTGCATCTCCTGAGCAGGCTTTCTACTACAACAGGATTGTACCTGCACACACAATGAAGGTAGAGACACAGGCTTACCTTGTCCTCTGACTGCTGAATGCTGCCAACATCTGAAAGAGAAAAATGAGGATAAGGGGAGAAAGACAGCTGTACAGGCATTGGCAGCCAGCTTTTAGAACCCTTTTCAAGAGAGGGAAAGAGTAAACATTGTTTTTATTAAGGTAACTAACTCCTCTGACTAAAGTCAGTCCTACCTGGGGAAAGTAGGCCTGTATTTGGGGAGTCCTGGAAAACACTATAGGAGACTCATGCTATTGTGAGCATTAGCCAAAGTAACAGCTACTGCATTTTGTTGTTTGCTAATTGATATCCAACCTCCAGGGGAGACACAGGATTTTTGTCTTCTTTACTACCCACTCTAGTCCATGAAGAGTTAGCCTAGCACTGACCTCTGCTGCAGCCCAGCCCAGCCCTACATAACACAGTTATTACCACTTGCTGGGTTACACATAGTGACCAAAAAAGGGAAAGTACCAATCAAGAGTTATCATAACAAAAGAACCATACACTGGAAGATGAATAGAGCAGTACATATAACAAAGCCTCAGACTATTTATTTCAAATAACATTAAGTAGTAGAAGGCTTTCATCACACCTATTCCCTAGAACCAAATGATTCAACAGAGCACTATTAGAGAATTTAGTAGGTCATACATCTGTATTATCACTCATCTACAGTCCTCTGAAATGAAGTACAGGCAGGAGAATAGCTTCATGACAACATACCCAGAAGAGAGGGGGAAAGAAAACCAAAAAAGGCAGAGGAAATGAAATTTCCTCTACTTTGTCCTCACATTTCAGAACCCTTGGCATCTGCGGGTACCTATGCTCTTACCAGACTTGTGGTAGACCTTGAAGGAAGCAGTACCATCAGCATGGATAAAGATGCTCTCAGAACCCTTTATGAACACAGAACAGAGAGGTGGGCTGTGGGCCAGCTGCTCTATTTTCCTGCAACACTGGAAGCAGATAGCCCAGGCTTGCTCCTCACTTAAAGCACGTTCAAAACACCTCAGAAGCTCAGCTACAGAGACCTTTGTGATCCTCTGCTCACAGCCTGGAGGCTCCATTTTTCCTTTCACCTCTAACCTCCACTTTTAGCCTAGGGAGCTTAAAACTTCCTTTTCCAGACTGGGCAAGTTTTCACAGCAGCTTTTTATCAGTACTAGCTCTTGATTTGCTCTTATCTCTCTTACCTACAGGTGCAACCAATTATGCCAATTTTTGCTCTTTTTAAAGGCACATGACTTGATTTGTATTTGTAAGAGATTTCTTAAAAGAACAGAGTAAGTATACAACAAAATGGAATCCAAAGAAGGTAAGCGTGTACAAAAATTGTGCTCCATTTAACTAGTTCCTAAAAATTATATTAATTATACCAATATTTTCAAGTAGAAAAAGAGTACATTCAACTTCAGGCAGGGGAGGAAAGAGGCAGGAAGTGTCTTGTAGTTGAGGGAGGAGAACTCAGAACACCACAAAAATTATTTTGATAGGAAACTATTCCAATAGCACTAATAAATTACAGCAATCAACTCCTTGGGGCATCTGCAGTGGGCCCCAAGGAGCAAGTGGGCCCCTCGCACAGCAAATTCCAACAGCAGGGGCTGTGCGCGTGGAGCGATTGGGATGGCCAGGAGGGTACCCGGGGCACGGGCAGCAAGGCCCTTCCTTGCCCAAGAATGCCGATATCCCAGAATCACAGGATCAGCTGGGTGGGAAAAGATCTCTGAGATTACTGAGTCCAACCTGTGACAAACACCAGTGTCAGCTACACCCTGGCACTGAGCGCCATGTCCACTCTTTCCTTAAACACCCCCGAGGACAGTGACCCCGTCACCTCCCTGGGCAGTCCATTCAGTGTCTGATCCCCCTTTCTGTGAATACACTCTTCATTGTGTCCAACCTGAACCCTCCCCGGTGCATCTTCAGACTCTTATCGTCTGGTCTGGATGTGAATGGCTCCAGGTGTGAAGCCGATCCCGCGGCTTTTTCAGCGCTTTGAGGGCTGTGTGTGACATGGAGGGCACAGCTGAGGGCTGGGGACTGGAGTCATCCCCAGAACACCCCTGCACCATCCACTGCTGCTGCTGCGCTGGCTCACCACGGCCACAGCTCCCGAGGCGCACAGTGGAGAACTGCGAGGCTCGAAGTGTAAATAACACTCATTATTTATAGTTATTTCCCTTCTCGCTTACGGCATTTGGGGCTGCAACGCGTCAGCGCCAGGCCCCGGGCCATGGCGCACCCCCGCGGGGTGACTTGGTCCGGCCCGCGACTCTCCCCGCCGGCCCACCCGGATGGTGCTGGCCACGCTGGGGCTCGCCGCGCGCAGCGGGAAGATGGCGGCGCCCAGGGCGGCGTGGGACGGGCGGGACGTGCCCTGGAACCGGCTGGACGTGCCCTGGCCCGCCAACAGCGCCACGGTGCCGCTGGCGGCCCAGCACCCCACAGGTCCCGGCGCGGTGCCGAGGGGTTGGGGGGTGTTTGAAGCCGTTCCCGAGTGTTTACGGTGGGTGGTCGGTCGGTGGGAGCCGGAGGAGTGGCCGGAGCGGCGGCGGGCGCCGAGGCGGCGCTCGGTGCCGGTGCCCGGCGCTGAGGGGGTGCCCGGGTCTCGCCCGCAGTGAGGTTGCTGTCGACGCTGCGGCGGCGGTGCGGCATCGCCGGGAAGCGGCTGTCGGGGCCGGGCCCGGCCGCCGAGGGCCGCGTGCTGCGCGCCGTGCTCTACGTGTACCACAGCAGGCTGCTCCGGCACCGGCCCTACCTGGCCCTGCGGCAGGTGAGCACCAGCCCCGCCTGGGCGGCAGGGACCCGGCAGCTGGGTACTCCCGGCCCCCAGAAAAATCCTGTGGAGTAGCACTTTGTGCTCAGAGCATCGTGCCAAAAAAAAGTTTGGGAGCGGGTGCATTTTTGTTCTCTCACGGTTGAGCCCAGTGGGTTTCTTGGCCCTGTGCAGCAAGTGCAACTTCAGTTTTCCAGCCCTGGTCTCCGATACTCACGTTGAGACCCAAAATAGGTACAATTCTATACCTTTGTGTACATGAACAATACAGGGATATAATTCTCATATAATTATAATAATGGGAGGGAGGAATAATAATCCTGTCCTACTTATTAGATACTTTCTGTTTTAAGATGAAAAATGAAGACCTTGTCAGTTTTCCAGGAAAGGGGTTATCAGCATCTTCAAAGAACTGTTTTGAATTGGAGCAGGAATGGTGCTTACCTTCTTGATTTGCTTATGTGTTTTTTTTCTTGACATCCAGTAGTATAGGCCCTTGTATACAGCAGGGAAATCATACAGCACCAATTAAACATGGCCTACTCCAGTCCTTCACTTAATTCTATATTTACAGTAGAGCAATGAAGGAATGTTTTTCATCGTAGTGCAGATACAGAAAGGTCCCAGAACATGCCATTACACAAACCTGCAGTGTAGGCTGTTTAACTGATAAGGAGAAGGTGTCATTTAATATAGTGACAGTTCTTAGACCAGGGCACTCAGTCTCTCAAAATACCAGTCAAAGGAATTTGCTTTTCTCCTAGGTAGAGCAATGTTTGAAGCGCCTATGGAAAATGAATCTGGTGGGCTGCCTGGAAACTCTGGTAAAACTGATTCCCAAGTAAGTGTCATGATCCCATATCTTGTACTATCCATTAACTCAAATCTGCAGAACTAAAGGAAGAGGATACTAGATCATAACCAACTCTTCATCCTTGTCTCAACACAGGAAAAATGCATCCAAAGCCCACACAGAGTGCTTAGTTCCCAGCCAGCCTATGCTGGAAACTGTGGCTCTGAAGGTATTGGGAGGCTGCAAGCTCATACTACGTCTGCTGGATTGTTGCTGTAAAGCTTTTCTGTATCCTTTCTTCACCACAAAAACATGATCTTAGAGTTCACCAGTAGCACCTCATATAGGCCCTGTATTGCTGATGGACTCAACTGTGCAATTCATATGTGGAACTTTAAGTTCCTTTGACAGCCAAAGACCTTCTTTTCAAATTATTATGTAGGGACCTCAAGCTGTTTGGCTAGCAGCTATTCTGACCTTCAGCAATCCAAAATTTGGATACTCATCTCCCAGATTATTCCTTGTGAGTTACCTCTCGTTGGTGTGTTCAGCAAGTCTCATTACATGCTGTTTATTTTTTTCACCTTAACTGCTGTGATCTTCAGCTTGTCCATTAAACATCTCTGCTCGAGGGAATTCATACTCCTGAATACTGTGGCTTTGGGGCTCCTGAGCCGGCTCTGGTTTGTGTGTTCAAAAGTCTGTCTTAATTGTGTCTGTTTGATGTGCCTGTCAGGGAGAAGGGCTTGTAATTAGGCCTGGCTGCTAAGGGAGTTTTATTCAGTTGGGAGTAGGAGAAGAGAGGTCACTCCATTCCTCTGGACTCGATTTTAGCACCTGCAAAGCTGTACAGGTGGAGAGAGACTTCTTACATGCTGTTATGGATGGCTTTGTTCTTAGATCTTAGCAAACTGTATGTAGCTTTAATGAAATCACAGTGTTAGTGTCAACCTGCCACAAACACCAGGTACTCTGTGCAGTAAGGAGTAAGTCCTGCCTCATGGGG